CTCATACACACAAAAACACATACGCATACACACTCTCTCTCTCTCTATCTCTCTCTATATATATATACATATATATATATATATATATATATATATATATATATATATATATATATATATATATATATATATATATATATATATATATATATATATACATATGTGTGTGTGTGTGTATACATACATACATATATACATATATATATGAACCGTATATATATATATATATATATATATATATATATATATATATATATATATATATATATATATATATATATACATATATATGTACACACACACACACACATGTATATATATATATATATATATATATATATATATATATATATATATATATATTATATAATATATATATATATATATATATATATATATATATGGTTCTCGATGCACCGTACCGAACTCCTTCACCACTCTTCAGCTTGGAGGTCGCCCCCCCAACTTCAGTAAGGCAGGGTGGATCCTCACTGATAGGTGGGTCTATCTGCCGAATCTCGGCAATCCCTGCATCCAAGTTAACTGTTGGTAGATCAACCCGGTACAACTTCTCAAAATACTCAGCCCAACGTTCCTGCACCGCAAAAGGGTCTGAGACGATCTAGCCACTTACAAAGCGAACTGCTGTCACCTATGAAGAGGGCTTGGAGTTCAGCTTTCTCAGGGCTTTGTAGGCAGGACGAAGATCATTTACTAAGAAATGGCCTACCTCTGCAAGACTCCTAATAAACTGTTCCTTGTCCCTTCTTAACGGTGACCAAGTTCTGCACATCTAGAACTAGGCAAATTTCAATCCCCTGTCAGACGAGCCCCAAGACAAGCATCTATGGCATCCAGTGTCTCCTGCGAGATTAAATTCTGTATTGCTCTCGAGCGTTTACCAATCATTTCTTGAGCTGCACCAAGCGTTTCACTCTTAAAGGTATCTCACAGAAGTACAGGGTCTGCCAGATTTTTTAGCACTGTGAAACGACCAGAGATTGCCTCAGCAAACCCCCAGGTACACTCCCCTTCCCTCAGCCTGTCCAAATGAAACACCCTAAGGTGCTCATTGGACCGCTGGCGAGTTTTGAAGTGGACCTGGAGGGTAGCCACAACCAATCTATGGGCAGTACCACAGAACTCGGCACTCCTATATACCCTGCAGTTCAGGAGGATATTTTGTACTTGTATATCGTTGTTTCACAGCAGTGTTAGTGTGCAAGGTGGGTGTGTCATCCCGTTCAGTTACAACATAAGCCTGCACGACGAGAAAACACCTGCTGGGCGAGCCCGGTGGTGCTCAGGCGGGGAAACCAGTCGTAACCGTCCGACTCGAAAACGATCATTTTTCGATCAGAATTATACATTGTAAAAACCCATAAACGTAAATAGTAGATAATCATATCATATACAAGTATTTCATATATGATCTGTTATATAAAGTGTTAGAAAAAAAATATATATATTATTGGGTCCTTCAAATTTTTAAACATAGCTTATTAAATTTCACGTAAGATGAGACCAACCTTAATTTTTTCGAAATAATTTCTAAAATCTGGCAAGTGTCCAAAAAGCAATAAAAAATATTTTTTTTTGTACAAATAAATAAACATGATATGCCGCTCAAATGGAGTATTTTATTTTCTTATATAGTTAGCTTGATCTATGAGCCAAACATTTCGAAAATGCAAGCATCCCCCTGAAAAACAAATGGGTAGGATTGCCAAATGATTTTGGATGACTCCACCATCAAATTTGTGGAATAGTGAATGATAGGCTAAGATTACACTCTGCTGGCAAAAAAAATTAAAAATCTATAATAACTTTTTGAGTTAGATAAAATTGTCCTGATCCGAACCATGGTCTAACATCACCAAAAATGTTAATTGGCACCTAAACCTTGGTAAAATCTCATTAAAACGTGGTCATAGGCCAGCTTTTAGAAATATCAGGCAACATAATTAATAAAAACAACACAACGGTAACACACAAACAAATTATCACAAAATGGAATAACAATATGAATAAAGCAAACAAGTCATGAAGATGAGAACGTAAATGATCTCTTTATCCGTACATACCTTATATACATATTTTGTACTTGTATATCGTTGTTTCACAGCAGTGTTAGTGTGCAAAGGTGGGTGTGTCATCCCGTTCAGTTAACATAAGCCTGCATGACGAGAAAACATGGGCGCGAAGCCCGGTGGCTCAGGGGGTGGAAACCAGTCGTGACCGTCCGACTCGATAACGATGTTTTTCGATCAGAATTATAACTTGTAAAACCCATAATCGTAATTAGATAATCATATCATTATACAAGTATTTCATATATGATCTGTTTATATGGTTGAAGGCTTGGTAGAAAAAATCTATTGTTGGTCTCTTCAAATTTTTAAACATCACAAGCAACATACTTTTCAGTCCAATTTTAAGGTATATATATGGCTCAGTTTTGTGTAGGTGTTGAATAGTTTTGTATTACAAGCTGCAATAAGAAAGTGCTGCATATTTCTTCATGTGTTTCTTCCTTTTTTGGGGTGTTGAAAAGGTCGCCTTCATAAAATATTCGAACTTCTAAATTGTTGGCTTCTGCATATTGTAATATTACTGTATTGTTCAATACAGATATGAAATCAGAATGGCTGTGTGATTTGTTGGATTCTTACAAGAATAGTTTTAAATATGGTCAATATAGGCCTAGAGACAGCCCAAAACACTGCCACCCTACCACACTATATGTAAAATTTTGAGAAACCTACATGCTGACAATGTTCGCAAGACTACAGAATGAAGTTAGATGATAGAGTATTATGGTTTAGCAAGACTGGTCTTATACCATATGGGGACTATCTGTGTTTTTTCTATTTTATATGTTTTTTTTCTTGTCGATTTTGATGAAACTCACACCTTTTTAATTAGGGCCCTTTTCGAAATCGGCTGAACAGTTTTTGAGTTATATAAAAAAAACGAAAAATGCAGCACCTGGGTAAAAGATTCCGACTTCAGAAACGATAAGACATTCAATTTTACTGAATTTTTTTTCTTAGAAATATTCAATATCTACTTCATCATTGTAGATTTTTTGATTTCGACTTTTTGGGTGAATATTTGAGGTAGGGGACTCAACAAGAATCAAAAACAGTAAGAATGTTCTTACATTTCTCACTTTCACAAAAAGCACAGTCAAAAATTGCAAAGTCAACAATGATCAAGGTGTAGATATTTTATATTTCTACAAAATGAACCATAATATGTTAATTTTGGAACATTTCCCACTTTATTCCACCTGTAGACTCCTTTTACCACCCTAAAGGTGGTGTACAAGATATCACCCTTTTTTTTCCTTGTGCGTGTCTTTGATCTTTTCCATTGATCTATCTTTGGAGAGAAAGTACAAGTGTTTATAAGTAAATTAGTTTTTTTACCTACGAGGAGTGATCACTCTGCTATAATCATTTCTCTACCTTGCACATGTCGAAAGTCTGTGCATCACTGACAATTGTGGCTCCAGCATCGTAACTGGTTTTTTTTTTTTTTTTTTTTTTGTTTAAGTATCTTTTGGTGTCCTCCTGGCCCTGTCTCTAAAAGTATATAGGATGATATGGAGGTGGTTCTTGTTATTAGTGGTTTGTTTTTGTGATTGTGATTTTGGTTTGTGTGTTTTATAGTATAGTGTTTCTGATAGCTAGTTGTGTGTGTGAGCTCGATGTTCTAATATAAGATTTCTCAAGATCACAGATAAAAACAGATGATAATCTAACCTCGTTTGATTCTTACCTTGTGTTGAAGAACAATTATCTTTTTTGATGCATAAGTGTGTCCTTATCTTTTGTTTGGTCGTAAAAATTTCTGGGCAGGTGACTTGTTAAACTCTACTACCTTCTAATAGGAGATTTCCTTGAAAATATGATGTATTCACTTTTATATTAGCACTGCTACTCGCTCTGGAATATTCGTCGATATCGCTTAGGCGTCTGCATCTAATTAGATCTATATTTCAGTCTAACATAATAAAATCAGCCTATAAATACTTTATAATATCATCTGGAACTAAATAATGTGTGCTCTATTGTCACAAATATTGAACAATACATTCTCTCGGTTCTTTTTCCTTTTCATTATGTTTTATATTTATCAATGATAAATTCATTTAGTTTATCGTATACTTTGTATTCCTGAGTACTAAGAATAGATGATAAAAATTGTATTGGTGGTCTAATACGTGATTTGTATGAGTTATTTTAATCCTATTATATATATTTGCTCTTATTTAATATCAATATATAGGATTTTTATTGGGTCGGTTAAAATAAACCGTTTTCAATATGTAGAAACTCACTTTATCCAGTCTGGTGGGTTCCAGCCCACGTCCTTTTTCTACTAGTCGACTTGGACTCTGATGCGTTGAGTGATATATTTTGGTCTTAACTTCTTATCGGAGTTTCTGCGTCGCCAGATTTTTTCATCAACTTTCAGACCCTCACGTATTAGTAAAGACGAGAACACTAGAGCGATCATAAATAGCTCATGTTATAAAAGATGTTTTATCTATAACATCTATTAGGTTCATTTTTTCGTATCATACACTATGATCTCTTGATGATATTTATATTTGTGTTATCAGCTGTTTGTGAGTGTGAATATTGAGTGTGTGTATTGTTCTTATATATAGTTTTGTATGTTTGCTGATTATTTTTCTAAAGTTTTTATGGTAACCTATCATGTTTTAATCTTGAGGTTGTTCATCACGGTGGTGTTTTGGTGCCTGTGGTGAGTTTTATGTCTTTGCACTTTTGTGAGATGTGTTAGCTGGTGAAATCGCTGTTTGAATTTATTATTTTTTTTGTTTCTCTTTATATTACTAGTCTTCGAATAATAGATTCTCTTGGTAGTCGATAGTTAATTTTATTTTATTATTTGATAAAATTATTCTCCTGTAGATCTTATCTGTTGTAACTTCTATAATTAATTATTATACTAATTTTGTTAGGATTGGTTTTCTCTCACTGAATATTTTGTGAGTCAGTTATCTCTATCCATTCACCATATATCTGGATGGTGAGAGATGTATGTTTATCATTTTCTTATATTCAGTATATAGTAGTTTTGCTTTCAGTAATATAATCAGTTCGAATTGAACAATATAGATTAATGAAAATAAAATACACCTAGTGCATCGCCTGTACGGTAAGGGTTTGAGTCTGGTATGCAAAATATAGTATATCCTCTAGTGATTATCTTCTTCTTGGACACTGGCTATACTAATTTAATTATATTTTTGTCAAACTATTGAAAGGTATGTGTAAATCATATTATGTGCGATCACTCGTGAAACTTAACAAGCTCTTGTCAGAATTATCTCTCTACTAATCTCATCTTTAATTATCTGATCATTCGTCATTTGCGCTTTTATGTAGTAACACGAGTAAGCTGTACAATAATATTGTGCTCGATCTGGATTATCTCGTGAATCGCTTATCAACCTAAAAATAATTATTAACGAGTCGGGTCTTGTATATTTTTCTTTGTCTATAAGTCAATCAGGGCTATAGAATGTGCATTGTAATGTTGATTGCAATTATACTGAATTATTTCGATATATAAGATTGAGTCGACTGTGTAATATCGGTCGGTAGTATGCCGTGATATATCAGAAAATGATTAATAACAAAGGGAAGTATAAATATGTCGAACCAAAAAATATTATGCACTGAACAAGTTGTAGCTATAGGACTATATCTTATCTGTACACGTAGGAAATAAAATGATTAATAAAAAGAAATTGCTTTTAGATAGGCTGACGACATTTGTCACATCTTTTTCGGCTCGAATTTTAATCGCTACTTATCCTCGGGTTTGTTATATACACGTTGTAGGATAATTATCTATATCTGTGCTTATTTCAACCTGTTCTCTCAATTCTTGTGCTTTGTTCGTGAATAGAGGATAAAAATAAAGAAAAAATGCTGCAGGGTAAGCTGATATGCGACTAATATAATATAAGGACAGTTGGTGATCTCATCAAATATTGGGAATAGATAAATATCGAAGATAAATGGTTCCCTTTCTCATGGATATCGATTATAGCTATGATGGCTCATTTTGACTGGAAACTTCACTACCTAACGTGAAGTGCGCACTAATTGCCCATAGTCTCTCGAGTCAAAGAAAGATGTGGTATTGGTGATAATGATAAATATACGATCATCCTGACGCAGAGAACGGGATGGATGACCTAACCTATGCGCTGAACTCGCGACGCTTGCATGATGATCGCTCCATTACCGTACTTTCGGGGGTGTCACCTTAGGGATTTTTATCCAATCCACATACTGTCACTATTCTCAGTATATTGATTGTGAGGCTGCCAGAACAAAGCTGGACAAGTAGGTTCCCCGTGCCCTACAATATCTGATGCTCCCGCAGTTGCATCATCGTACCGTACGGGGCACCATACAGTTCAACGCTTAAGGACACTATAGTGATGTGAGGTAAGTAGACTTATCCCCGCACTGCAGCATTTAAGCAAGTTACAGTGGCATCAGCGTGGCCAATCTGTTAATATAGGGGGGATGTAGATGGGTCAATGCCTCATCCTACGTAACTTCCCATGAGGTGTTTATGGAGAGCAGTTGATAATAATCATATTGTAAGTCCATGAAACCTCTGGAACCTTTAGTATCTTCCTGCTTCTCTTGTAGATCACTACCTCACATAAGTTTTAGTCCCTGGTGACCCTGCAAGGTTAACCCAGTTTCATGTGAAGTGTCCATCACGAGATGGCAACTGTAGTGAATTATCCGAATTCAGAGAGGCATAAGTGAACTCTATGCAGGGGAGGCCTATTATTCCAGAGCTGCTCTACATTATTATTCATCTAGTCAGGCCAAAACGCGCTGGCAAGCCTGCAAACGCGAGAAGGCATGCAAAGCATTTAACATAACTAGACTACCGACACCATCACTTCAACATCACCCTGCAGCGAGAAGCAACCCCTTACTCATAGCTACATCTATCTATCTAATCTTATTCATGATAATTTAATCTTAATCATTACATATTATCTATTGTATGTCTCATTTATATCCATATAATCTTCTCTCTCTATCTATATATCTTCTTCTATTCTAAATTAACTTCATCTCTCATATCTCTCTCTATCTCCTTTTCTGTCTTACTACCTCTATCTCTCTCATCTTTATAATATTATAATATTATATATAATAATCATTATAATACCTATGTATGATATATATGTATGGTGTATATATATATTATTAATATATATATGTATGTATATGTAAATATTATACATATATACTACACATATTATGTATATATATATATTATAATATATATATATATATATATATATATAATATCAGTTATAATTCCCTATTATATATTATACAGATAAACAGTAAGTATATATAGAATTCAGTATATGAAATAACTAGAGATAACTAGTATATATATAGTACAAGCTACATCATA